TGTTTTTTTCTGGCAAGACTTGCCAAAGTGCTCACTGAGGAAAAGGGGGAGAGGGAGGGATCCAGGAATTTCTCATGGCGGGAGGGGGGGCACAGCTTCGGGAGACTCTCAGCCAGACACCAAGGAAACCTGGCCAGCTGTTGGCCGGCGGCTGTGCGGGGGGCCCGTCCAGAGTCTGGGCATCCGGCCACCCCTCCCCTCTGACGCCGGTCCCAAACCCCAGGGAAGCCCTCAGGAAACCGAGTTTGTTCCCAGGAAGGCTGGGCAGGAGAGGCGAACGTCCGCTCGTGCTCTGAAACAGCCCCCCCCCCATCATGGGTGGAACGGGGTCGCTGGGGGGGGGGAAGAGAAGCAGCCGGGACTCGCGTTCCTGCAGCTCTTTAAAGCTCCACCTGTTGTTTCCAAACGTGGCCGCCTGCCACCTGCTGGGCTGCCTGCTCACGGCCACATCTGGAAACATGGCCACCGTTTTATTGTTCCGACTGATCTTTCGCTTTGGGTTGGCTTTCCGTCTTCTAAGCATAAAAGCAGGACGTGAACCTTCGAAGGGACTGGTCTCACTGGCGTTCTGGGGGTGGGTTACGTAGGCAGCTTGGGGACCCCCGGCCTTTGGGGGCTTGTAAGAGACCTCCCGCCCTCCCCCTCCGTTCCTACCCTGCCTCGTAAGTGAAGAGCTTGCGCAGGTACGTGGCTGCCGTCTCCCCGGTGAACACGGACGGGATGGAGATGTGTTTGTGCAGTTCTTCTGGAGAAGGAGGGGAAGAAAGAAAGCCCCCCCCCCCAGTTAGCGGTAAGACTCCCGTGAGGAGACCCCAGCAGGTCATGGGGGAAGGAGACGGAGCAGGGAAACACACACACACACACACACAGAGAGAGAGGGGGAGAAAACACACACAGCCAAGACAGAGGCTGCTCCCGTTGCACTTACTGTCGTCCCAAACCATGTTGAGCAGGGTGTCTGAGCCCACGTTGTGGACCACCACGGCCAGAAACCCAGCCTGCTGAGCGTGGTACACCTGGAGGGAGGGCGAGGGGAAGACGGGTTGGGGAGAGGGGTACAGAAGACGGACCCCCCCACCACCACCACCACTGCATCCCCAACCCCAAACCTTCCCCAAAGCTCTCTCCACACTGAAGTGGGGTGTGTGCGTGCCCCTCCCTTGGCGGGAGATGCTCCGGGTTGTCCTCCCAGACTGCATGGAGAGGGGGGGGCGTGGGATCAGACCCCCAACAGGAGGGGGCAGCCATCTGAGATGAGAGAAAGGCTGCTCCTCCAGCCACAAAAGGGGTCCCCTCCCCCAACCCCTATCCCCATCGTCCCTCCACACACACACACACACCTTGATGTCGAAGTTGCACTCATAGCGCTGGATAAGGGCGATAAAGACGCTGCTATTGGAGGGAGGGGCCTCGATGGGCTGGCAAGCGTTGGCCGGCTTGGCTTCCACCAGGAGGCCCTGGAGGTGAAAGAGGGTTGGGGGGGGGGACAGAGGCTGACCCGGCTGCCAAGACAGGGAAGGCAGGAGGAGCCACAAGCAAGGACCACAAGCCCCATCATCCCCCACCTCCCTCAGGATGGGCTCAAGGCTCTGGGAAGTTTCTTCCCCAAAGTGGGGGCGGGAGGAACCGGGGGGGGCCATCAGGGGCTCTGGGGCAAAGGCCTCCACCGCAGAGGGCGGGCAGGTCCCCAACCACGTCTCAAGACACCCACCATGAGTCCGTTGCGTGGCAGCGGGCCCCCAAACATGGCTGGCAGGTCAGAGAAGTCCATGCTGGTATTGCGGTCCGACATCTGAGGAGAGGAGAACAAGACACAGGGCAGGAAGGTGGAGGAGCGAAATCAGCTGGGCGGCCGTTCCAGACCAACAGCCCCGATGCCTGCTCGGCCTTGTCCCTCTCCGGTGGAGACAGGAGGAGGGGAGCGCAGCATTTGACCACCCAGGTTATGCAGAGAATGGGAAAGGGAGGGAGGGGGAGAATATCCTGGCAGCCAAAAAATATCTAGCAATCTGGTCACCAAGGAAGGCCGCCCAAAAACTGTGGAATCCCACGGTCGAACGTGGCAGGGGTGACCCAGCTCCAGGAGGCAGTGGAAGACAGGAGGACCTGGCGTGTTCTGGTCCATGCATGGGGTCACAAAGAGTCGGAAGAACCCAGCCAGTGGAGAGGCCAAGAGGCAGGTACTGTGGCCACCCTGTGGCTGGCCTGGAGGAGGGCCTGGAACGCCTTGGAGGCGCTTCTAGGAAAGGCCAGGCATGTCCACAGCATCCTAGCCCGGCTGCTTAACCTTCAGTTCAGGACAGAGTGGGGATGGGAGTTGGGGGGGGGGGAGAACAGGGAGGGGGCAAGCAGCCTCCTCAGAACCCACCCCACCCACCTGTTGCACAGTTTTTGCCCTGGTTCGTGAGGGCTAAAGCCACCTTGACCCCTGAGAGATGCTTCCCTGCAGGGCAGACCCTGCATGGGGGCCCCCGTCCCCTTTCGCTTGCTGCTACGCTGAAAAACGCATCCCACCCGCTCACCCTTTCCCAAAAGCAGGGGAGCAAGCAGCTCCCGGCTCTCTCCATGCCGCTTTGCGGGAGGGAGAGGGGAGGAAGGGGGAACACCCCACATCCCTCCCCCCCCCCGAAAGGCCTGCATGCATAGACTCCTGTTTCCATGCCAAACCCAACAGGAATCTCCTATGACTGCAAATCCGTCCTGAAAAGACGGCCTTGCAGCCAGCCGGTGTTCCTGATCCAGACCCCGGTTGTGCGTGACGAAGGCCCCGGGACTGGATCTCCCTCCTGGGGAGTTTCACCCAGAGGCCTTCATGGCTCAGGGCGCCCCCTGGTGGCTCATGTTGGCACACTACGGGACCCCACCTTCTCCATCTCCAGGGGCCAAGGAGGGATGCAGTCCAGAGCGGTAAAGCCGCCTCCTGTGGACTACAAGTCCCAGAAGGCACAAGCCACCCAGAGAGTCTGGGAGCTGCTGTCCTAGGAAGGAGTTTTAGAAGCGGTGGCTGAGTTTGCCTGTGCAAGCACACCAGGCAAAATCCAAAGAAACAAAGCAACGTGGGCACCTAAAAAGACCACTGCATTTTAATCTCAGCTGTCATGGACTGGATCCACGGAAGCTCATATCAAAATATAACAGTGAGCCTTTATGGTGCCGCCATGTTATGGTCTCCTCTTTTCTTTTGTTTTTTTTAAAAAAAGATTTTTCCTGAAGTCCTGAAAGGGAACTTTTCCGAGACCCGGTTTTGTATGCCGGCCACGTGCCACGGCCTGGAGCAAAGGGCGAGATCAGGGCCAGGATGAAGGCCGTGCAGAATTAAAAGGCCCTAAATGCCTCTTCTCTGGCAGACAAAGCCACCCCTCACGCAACCTCAGGGGCAAGAAGGGGTTGAACCAGCCTGAAGGGCCACATGGGGGGGCGGGCAGTGGAGGGCAGGGCACCACAGACTCACCGCATGGATGTAGCCCGTTGTGGCCGGGAACTCCAGGAGCAGGCACACCGGCAGAAGGAGGCCTGCCAAGAGAGGTGGGTGCATGGCGTGCGTCATGGCGAAGAGCAGAGCGTGAGGCTGGCACCTCCTGTATCAGAAACACGAGAGCACAACAACAACAAGAGGAGAGTCAGGGAAGGCCACGGAGCGACAGCCCCTTCCAAGCAGGGCTCAGTCCTGGGTCAGGCAAAGGAGCTTCCTGACCATGTACAGAGTCCCTCCCCTCCCCCTCATGATGAGGAAGGGGAGGGGCGGCGGCTGGCCCCAAGGAGCCCTGTGCCCGCAGGTCCTCCCACGCGTGTTCTCCCTAAAGGCTCCCTGCTCCATGGGCAGAGACGATCCTTCAGGCCTCCCCTGGGCCCAGGTTGACCTGTCCAGGCCCTGAGAGCCTGCTCCCCTCCGGCCAGGGTGGGTTCAGGAAGACACACACACACACACACACACACACAAAAGAAGCAACGCGTGGCTGCCTCAGCCTGCCCTGTGCCGTGCGAGGCGTTTCTCAGGAACCAGCCCTGCACCGGGTGGGGGACGGTGGGGGAGGCTACTGCAAGTGTTTCCCCCTTGGATGCGCCCTCCAGGATCAGATGCACCCCATGAAAAGCCTTTAAAAGGCTTTACACGCACACCGAGAGCCGCCTACGAGCACAGGGTGCCCCACCTTCTGCCCAGGGAGGCACCGTTGCAAAGCCAGAGTCCAGATCCCTGGAGAGCAAACCACAAGGACTGGGAAGCACCAGGCCGGCCAAAGCGGTCCAGCGGTGCCTCTGAGCCCCATCTCCCGGAGAGAGTCTCCGAACGGCCACGAGGATGGGGGCCACGCCAGCAAGGCTGAGCCCAGGATTGGCTCTTCCAAGGCTAGCTCTTACCCGTGCGGCCAGAGGCACCTTCTCCTGGTCATTTGGAAACGGCCTTCGGCCCGGCTCTCTGGACGTGGCTCTCCCTCTTCTCTCCTCAGGCCATCCTGCCTGCAACCATGCATGGCCGCCTCCGAGGGGGCAGAGTGGTCCACCCAAGGTCTGAGCCTTCCGGTGCCATGGGGTGTGAGGGAAGGGGTCCCGGCTCAGCCTTAAGGGCTCTGTGGGGTGGCTGCCCCATCTTTCCCCTCCCCAGTGGGACTCTTCTCAGTTGAGGGACATGAGGGGCCTTTCTGCATCCTGGGTCGTGGGACCTGCCCTCCCCAGACTTCAAAGGGGGGGGGCAGCAGTGGGGGGGTTCAAACTCAGAGCATGCAAGCGGGCAAGCAGGCCACCCCCACACACACACGAGAAGGAGCTGGACCGGGGCTCACGTGCTGAGACCTAATCCTGACATGGCAGAGAGGCTCCTGGCTGGGAGACAGATCTCCCAGCTCCCCCACCACCACCACCACCACCCCCTTGCTATGGGGCTAAAGCCCCCCAGCGCCTCAGGGTGCTGCCCGCATGCAAGACCTGAGGGGCATTTGGGGAACTGAAGCCACCTGTGCAACTCAAAAAACGCAAATCATGAAAAATGCACAGTTTTGGAAAATGGGCCCACTGGCACTTTAGTCCCTGGAGAAAGAGGCCGGTTTGGGGGGGGGGGGAAATGCGCCTGGAAATCTCATGGGGTTCCCTACCTAAAAGGAAAACGCAGCCTCTGAAAGCAAGGAAGGCGGTGAGGAGGAGAAGCACCACACAACCCAGGGAGAAGCTTCTGACCAGGCCTGCTCAGGGAACGGCATGGAGCCTATTTTCGAAAGGGGGAGAACTGGCTTCTT